ATACTTAAGGTCAGTCAATGATCAGGAGTTACAAATAGAAACAGTATCTACCTAATATCTCTCTAAATGTGATCCTCTAACCAGTTCTTTTCAGGATTATTAGTCTGTTCTTCTAATTAGCTCGATTAAGTTTGTGTGACTTAAGAAAACAAACTATGGAGCACTTCAACTCAGATCTCAGAATCAGCAGAGACTAAAGGCATATTAATGCTGTCAGTTTTCTTAAATATAAATAATAACACCTCACATGGGTATGACACTTGCCAGGGGTTAGTTCCTATGTCTTTTCACTTTGTCACTTTGTCTTTACTTCAATAAGAAAATAGAGACTCTCCCTCCAAAAAAACAACATTTTTTTCTTTGCTCTAGTTGTTTCCTCTCTGTAACTTATGTGATAGCTGAAACCAAGCTTCTGTACCCCAGCTGAGTGCCACAGGTAGATGAGTTAGGTGTGGATCTTGTTAGAATGTGAGACAGGGAGTAAACTCCCTGACTACCACAACACACAACATTCACAGTGTGTGTGTGTGTGTGTGTGTGTGTGTGTGTGGTAGAACTGGGCAGGTATGGGTGTGCTGGTAAATGTTTAACAATCAGCTCTCCAAAAACCCCAACCAAATGCAGGAAGTACTTTAAATTTAATCCACATTATTATTTTCTCCATCCCTTTCTCAAGTCTAAACAACCAACAGAACAACAAATCAGGCCTGACTTTATAGTGTTTGTAGATTTCCGAGGTGTAAATGCTCACAATGAAAATTTAGCAGTTGGCTCTAGATGAGCTCGAGGTGTGCTAGCTATAGCACACGCTGGACTCTGATTCTATTCTTAAAGGAAAATAGCACTGATAATAGAAGAATTCGTTTTAAAGGAACTGACTTGTTTATTGAGCACCTCTTATGTAGAAGGCACCATGATAGTAGATACTGAGGGAGGATACAAAAATGAGTAAGACTACTATCCCTTTTCTCCAGGAGTTTGTAGTTTAATAGGGGAAATAATTAGATTATATGTAAGAAGTGATAATGCAAATTGAGCTTCCATTGTTCTTGTTCTCCAATTACATTTCATAAAGGGATCATACAATGCATAGGAAATAAAGATATTTTCCATATGGATACTGAATTGGGTTCAGTGGGTTTGTTTGTCAATATGTACTCACAAGTGTGAGCAAACTGACACTTGAAGATGCTAAAACAGGCCTTTGGATAGACCTCCCTTAACGTCTCCCCTCAGTTTTACAGGGATTTCAGCTGTGATTCTAAAAGCAAATTCTCAGTCACCAGTTCTACCAGCCCATCAACAATTATCATCACAGGAAATAAAACTACAGATGTGCCAGGACATTCCTGGCTGTTTGTACATTTTGTTTCATAGGGCTTGCTAAAAACAATGAGCAAGCATAGGAACATAAATGATATGACTAATCATTTAAGAGACTTTCAATTTTCAAACTCTTATATGCTGGAAGGAAATAGAAGTTGGAAATGTGAAGAATAGGCATTCCCTTTGAATTTTACAATATCTCTATTGGGGGGAAATGATTGCATGAATGATCTTAGTATAAAAGCAAATTCAGATCAGATCTGTCAGATTTTTCATCATAAATTAGATGTGGTTACTGTAAAGAATTGGTGGAACCTAGCATTAAAGACCATGTAGGATTTGAGTGATGAAAGAGAAATATTTCTCCTCTGATAAAAATGTCTCCACGCTTTTCCTGATAGTCTTTAGAACTGTCTATTCAGATCTACCATTGTGGGTTTCTCTTAAGAGGGATAGCTGCAGGAATGGAACCCTGGTATTGAGACTGGAGTTTGTGGAGCCTCAGAGAACATACTTTCTCCTTTTTCTAGAAATATGTGGCAAAAATGCGAAAGGGACCTTTTTATCTCTTCAGAGACAGTATGGCAGTGTGCTAAAGTTGGAGTCAGGAAGAGCTCCATTTGGATCCTACCTCAGACACTTACTATTTGTGGGATCCATCAGCAAATATTCCAGACTGGAAAAGAGAAGATTTGGTGTAGATGTGATGTCAATTTTCAAAATTTTGAAGGACCATCGGGGGGAGAGGGATTAACAAACATAAAGGGGGAAAATATTAGAAACACACACACACACATATAAATTATAGATAAGATGTACGAATTCATCCATTCTCAGATTTAACTACTGCTATTATTCAAGTGACTCCCAAGTTGACATTTGGAGCCCTGATCCCTTATCTGAATTCCAGATTTATATCTCTACCTATGTGGGGAATATCCCCATGGATGTCCTCTCAACATTTCAAAATCAACCTGTTCAAGTTAGAATTTATCAATTCCTTCCTAGCACAAATCTGTATCTCATTCTCCTGATTTCTCAATTGTGTTAATGGTTCCACCATTTCCCAAGTCGCTGAAGTTCAAAACCTTAGCATCATCTATGGCTCCTTCCCCTCACTTGTTCTCCACAAGCCAGTTAGCTGCTAAGCCCTATTAATTCTTTTTTTTTTTAAAGCAATTGGGGTTAAGTGACTTGTCCAGGGTCACACAGCTAGTAAGTGTCAAGTGTCTGGTCTGAGGCCAGATTTGAACTCAGGTCCTCCTGACTCCAGGGTCAGTGCCACCTAACTTCCTCCAATCCCTATTAATTCTACCTCCCTAGTACCATTTTCATCCATTTCCTCCACAGGAAATACTTGTTAAATATCTGTTGACTGATATTCATTTCCTTTGCTGCCAAACTATTTCAGGCCATTGTAACTGAAACAGCCCAAAAATGTAAGATTTAAAACTTATTAACAAAATCTCTGTGTTCTTTTTGGAACTTTTTATTTTCTTCTGTGCAGTTCTTCACCCTCTCTGCTTCAATCAAGTGCCACAGTTCACCATTTACCGAATATATATCTTGATTCATGTCCATTCCATTCATGTGCCTTGCCTGGAATGCTTACCTTCATTCTATCAAAGTCTTATCTTTAAGGTGCAGATCCAATGCTATTTCTTCTATGAAATCTTCACTGATCACAATGAATGAAAATCATTTCTCACTCTTTGGAAATCCAGTAACACTTTATCTGTACTATTCTTGTGGTACTTATCATCTATTGTCTTGTTATATGGTCTTTTGTTTATGTGTCTTATCTTTCCTAAGTCTCTTGGACAGATAACATAGTGCTCAGGACAACAGGTGGGTCAATAACTTTTTATGGGGAAAAAAAACAACCCAAACCTAAGTTATTAATGAATTAATGAAGATTCTGGTTTCTCTTTTCAGTTTTATTGATATATTTTGTTTTTATATTACAGATATTTATAGATTTTCCCCCAACCCCCACAACTTCCTGCCTCTACTTTGTGAGAGATCACTTGTAACAAAGTACCACTATCAAGATTTATTCATCTCTGGTCTTCTAGAATCATGAATCCTCATTACATTGATCCTAGTCCTTAGAGCTTTTAAAGGTATTTGTTTTGACAGTGTTATTGTATAAATTGTTCCCCACTTCTCCTAATTTCATTCTTCATCATTTTATAAAAGTCCTCACGATTGCTCATTTTTATAATATTGATACATAGTATAAATTGTTCTTCTGGTTCTGTTTATTTCATTTTGCATCAGTTCCTATGGGTCTTTTCCTATCTTTTGGAAATAATCTATTTGCTCATTTCTTACATCACAATAGTATTCCATCACCTTCAGATACCACAACTTATTCAGCTCTTCCTCAGTTCATGGGCATTCCCTTAGTTTTCAGGAAGAGATAAAAAGAGAAATTTCATTTAAAATTATTGGAGAATTTATAAAATATTTAGGAGTTTACTTTTCAAGATGCACCAAAGAACTATATAAATACGACTACAAACAACTATTTATAGAAATAAAGACAAGGTAATATTAAAAAAAAAAGGCAAGACTACTTACATCCATAAACTCATTCAATGTTATACCAATCAAAGTAGCACAGGATTACTTTATAGAACTAGAAAAAAAATAGTGAAATTCACATGGAGGGGGAAAAGGTCAAAAAAATCTAAAGAGAAATAATGAAAAGAAATGAAAAGGAAGGGAGCCACATCTCAAGCAATACTACAAAGCAATAATTTATTAAAAATCATGTAATACTCATTTAAAAATAGTAAGATCAATCAGTGGAACAGATGAGGTACACAAAATACATAAGGAAATGTATCTAATAACTTAATATTCAATAGACACAAAGACCCCAGCTACTGGGATAAGGACTTACTACTGGACAAAAACTGCTTGGAAAATTGGACAGCAGTAAGGAAGAAATTAGGTTTAGACCAACATCTCACAGCTTAGAGGTGTTGGCTTCTTTAAAATGCTGGATTGGGGCAGCTTGTGGCACCAGCCTTGGAATGAGGAGAACCTGAGTTTAAATCCGGCCTCAGATACATAACACTCACTAACTGTGTGACTCTGGGCAAGTCACTTATCCCCAATTGCCTCACCAAAAAAAAAAAAAAAATGCTGGATTTATTTGTTTATTTTTTTGCCCTAAACATAGTGTGGTTATACCAAGAAAGTTGACTATTGAACCATTGTTAATATGTCTTTGTCTGTGCTTCCTAATGGGCAAAATGGAAATAACACAACTTACTTGTGTCAAGAGGAATTAGTGTATGGGACAGGTAGTTATTACCTTAACAACTTTGTAAATATAGGGTGGTATGTAAATATTTATAGGCACCATGCGGTTTAGCAGTAATAATAAATATTTTCGACCAATACAAAGAAATATAGTGCAAAAGTCACAACTCAGGTGATCCATATGTAACTAACATAGGAAATCATTTTCACTGATACCTGGTAGTTATTAGTTAATGAGATTATTGAACCCTTTAATGGTCAATAAAAGAATAAAAAATCAGAGGTTAATGTGTGTGCTCCTGCAAAGAACTTGAACATAGTTCAGAACGGTATCTTTGTATGTATTTATTACTGATTATCTAGAAGGAGAGCTTTTTATTCTAAGAGGTGGCTGTTTCAGAATGGTCTCTGGAAAATTAATCAAATCCCTGGTTTATGAGATTCTAGAAGTGGCTGCTTTTTCTATCCCAACTCTTGTGATGGCAGAACAGTTTGCCTCAGTCTTCCAACGGACAGAGAACTCCGCAGAGAAGACATTTTATTGGCTGGTTGTGGTTGTTTCCATTGTTTATGTAGCATTGGTGACCTTGATAGTTTGGATTCCTGTAAAAATTCTGTTATACAAAAAGCATCATCTGTGCTCCAACATAAAACAATGGTAAGTATATCCAGGTAAGACATCCAACCAGGCAATTGGAACCTGGGTGGAAAACTCCTGTGATGCTTCCACCAAGTTGTGAGCTGAGATGGAGTGGGTGGTGTTGACTGGTTCTTTTGTCTTTCTTTGGGCTTAGCTCAGTGCCTGATAGGTAGTAAGTGTTTAATGTTGACCTGACTATTAATCTGAAAGTAAAAAAATTCATCCTACTGAAATTTTAGAAAAGGTTTGCTATGTTGGAAAAATAGAAAGTTGTTTCTATTACTTTTTATTATTAACTTAAACATCCACAAATATAGACATTTTGATATACAAAGAACACAAAAAGAGATTCTATATGAAATTGAATTTTTCTTATGTACATTTTATTTTTTATTTTTTTTTTTAGTGAGGCAATCGGGGTTAAGTGACTTGCCCAAGGTCACACAACTAGTATGCGTCAAGTGTTTGATCTGAGGCCGGATTTGAACTCAGGTCCTTCTGACTTCAGGGCCAGTGCTCTATCCACTGCACCACCTAGCTGCCCCTCTTATGTACATTTTAAAGGTGTATATTAAAGTTAAAATGATAGCAGTAAAATTACCCCTTTTGTCAGTCTCTAATGAACTTTTTGCTTTTTATGGGAGTTTTAAATGTTTCAGTGATTCTCTTTTCTTTATTTTCTTTTTAAATTTTGTATCACTCTTGTTACCCAATAACATCAATACTTAGGAAATGGTAAATACTATGACAGTACAGCTTTTCCTAATGAAGAACACATTACAAATTGTTTTTGTTATTGTTCAGTCATTTCAGTTGTGTCTGACTGTCCATGACCCCATTTGGGTTTTCTTGGCAAAGAACCTAGAGTGGTTTGCCATTTGCTTCTCCAGCTCATTTTATAGATGAGGAAACTGAGGCAAACAGGGTCAAGTGACTTGCCCAGGGTCACATAGCTAGTACGTATCTGAGGCCGGATTTGAACTCATGAGGGTGAGTCTTGCTGATATGAATAAAATTTTTCCCCCCACTTAATAGTATTTTATTTTTTCTAATTACATATAAAGATAGTTTTCAACATTCACTTTTATAAGATTTTGAGTTCCAAACTTTTCTTCTTCTCTCCCTGCCTCCCTCCCTTCTCCCTTCCCCAAGACAACAAGCAATCTGATATATGTTATACATGTACAATCATATTAAACACATTTCCACATTAGTGATGTAGTGAAAGAAGAATCAGAACAAAAGGGAAAACCCAGGAAAAAGAAAAAACAAAAAAAAAAGTGAAAATAGTATGCTTTGATACGTATTCAGACTCCAGAGTTCTTTCTCTGGATGTGGATAGTGTTTTCCATCATGAGTCTTTTAGAATTGCCTTAGATCGTTGTATTGCCGAGAAGACCTAAGTCTATCATAGTTCATCATCACACAGTGTTACAATTACTGTGTACAATGTTCTCCTGGTTCCATTCACTTCACTCAGAATTAGTTCATGTAAGTCTTTTCAGGTTTTTCTGAAATCCACCTACTCATCACTTCTTATAGCACAATAGTATTACATTGCATTCATATACCACAACTTGTTCAGCCTTTCCCCAATTGATGAGCATCCCCTCAGTTTCCAATATTTTGCCACCATGAAAAGGGCTGCTATGAATATTTTTGTACATGTGGATCCTTTTCCCTTTTTCATGATCTCTTTGGAATATAGGCCTAGTAGTGGTATTGCTGGATCAAAGGGTATGCGTAGTTTTATAGCCTTTTGGGCATAGTTCTGAACTGCTTTCGAGGAATGGATCAATTCACAACTCCACCAACAATGCATTAGTGTTCCAATTTTCCATATCTTCTCTAACATTTATGATTTTTCTTTTCTGTCATATTAGCCAATCTGATAGGTATGAGGTAGTACCTCGGAGTTGTTTTAATTTGAATTTCTCTAGTAATTTAGATAATTTTTTTCATATGACCATAGAGAGTTTTAATTTCTTCATCTAAAAACTGCCTGTTCATATCCTTTGCCCATTTATCAATTGGAGAATGACTTGTATTCTCGTAAATTTGATTCAGTTCTCTATATATTTTAGAAATGAGGCCTTTATTAGAAACCCTACCTGTAAAAATTGTTTCCCAGCTTTCTGCTTTTCCTCTTATCTTGGTTGCATTGGCTTTGTTTGTGCAAAACAATTTCACAAATTGCAATTAATTTGCAATTCAATGTAATCAAAATTATCCATTTTGCATTTTATAAAGTTCTTTATCTCTTGTTTGGTCATAAATTCTCTCCTCCATAGATCTGACAGGTAAGCTATTCCTTGCTCTCCTAATCTGCTTATGGTTTCACCCTTTATGTATAAATCATGTACTCATATTTGACTTTCTCCTGGTATATGGTGTGAGATGCTGGTCTATGCCATACTATTTTCTAGTTTTCCCAGCAGTTTTTTTTTTTAATCAAATAATGAGTTTTTATCCCAGAAGCTGGAGTCTTTGGGTTTATCAAATAGTAGATTACTATAGTCATTTTCTACTGTGTCTTGTGTACCTAACCTATTCTACTGATCCACCACTCTATGTCTTAGCCAGTACCAAATAGTTTTGATGATTGCTACTTTATAGTATAGTTTTAGATCTGGTATGGCTAGGCTACCTTCCTTTGCATTTTTTTCTGTTAATTCCCTTGATATTTTTCTTGACCTTCTGTTCTTCCAGTTACATTATTTTTTCTAGTTCTATAAATTTTTTTTTGGCAGTTTGATTGGTATGGCACTGAAAAAGTAAATTAATTTAGATAGAACTATCATTTTTATTATGTTAGCTCAGCCTACCAATGAACAATTGATTTTTTAAATTGTTTAGATCTGACTTTATTTGTGTGAAAAGTGTTTTGTAATTGTGTTCATATAGTTCCTGAGTTTGTCTTGGCAGGTAGACTCCCAAATATTTTATATTGTCTGCAATTATTTTAAATCTATCTCTTGCTGCTGGGCTTTGTTGATAACATATAGGAATGCTGATGATTTATCTGAGTTTATTTTATATCCTGAAACTTTGCTAAAGTTAATTATTTTGAGTAGTTTCTTAGTTGATTCTCTAAGTATACCATCAATGATAAGAATAAAATTAACATGAATTCACAATGCTCTCAATTGTTATCAGAGTTGAGAATTGCGTAGATCACACTAAGCAACAGTATTTAAATGCTGAGAGACAGCCCAGTACAATGGATAGAAGACTGACTTCGGATTCAGGAAGATCCAGCTTCAAGCCCTCCCTCTCACATATTTTGGCTTCGGGACCACAGACAAACCACTTTGTGCCCCAGCTGATTCTCTGAGACTATCAGTTGCTGATAAGGTGTCAGTCTACATTGGGGAAGGAGCTTCCTCACTGGACTTTCTCTAAACTGATGACACCACAGGTGTAGACAACAACAAAATTTAAATGTTACAGTAGGAAAATTGAACATTAGACCTGTTTCTTGTACCTACAAAACTGTACACGCCTGCTGTAGCCTTAGATATGAGAAGGTAGAAGTTGAATTTATTCCTATACAGCAGTAAAGAAAAGTCAACTTTGTTACATGACTTTGTGTTTTCAAAGTCTACTCTGCATTCTGACTATCTGTATGTGATTTTTAATTGGCTATTTCTCATAAATTCTAACTCATAACCACTTTGATATGTTGATAAAGTCTGTATCACTTGAAAATGATAGCTTTAAATAGCCACAACCTGGATGATACTTTCACTCTTTTATTAAATTTTATCATTTTAAATGAACAAACATTCTTTTTCTTTCCATCCCATGTCTCCCCACCAACTTTTATTACAGAAATAAATATAATCAAGCAAAACATTCCTGCATTGACCATGTCCAAAAATGTGCCTCATTCTGAATCTTTAGTTGGATAACATTTTAAAATAAAAAAGGCAAGCCTTAATGCAATTAAAGAGAAGTTACAGTTAGTTATACTGATAGAGGTCACATTTATATACCTATAAGCACACCTGACACATCAGGGGGAAAAAGCATATAGGAACAAGTTTCCCAGTTCTAAATATGGTTACATACTTTAATGAATGATCTGATCTTTTCTAATGCATTATTTATGTCCTCTGGGAAAAATGTATATGTTCCATTATGATTATCATTTTAATTTTGAGGTTGAACTATACAGAATGTATAAGAGATCATACATTCAGAAGTTTAATATACATATGGGTTTGAAAGTAAAATAAGAAAGATTAAAAATAGAAAAAAAAATGTCCTTCCTAGTGGAGAAAGAGAGATACCAGGACTGAAGTAGAAGGTAAAGTGATCTATGAACACCACTTGATACTGAATGTAATCTCACCACCCACACTTGGCTCCCAACATATTGTTATTGCTGTAATTTTTCAGAAGCTAAACCCACAAACTAACCATCTTGGAGTTATCATGTTACAGGACATTTGGATTTTTGGCGAGTTGGCTTATTAGATTCCCAAGGATACCTACAGGTTATTTAGGGATCCTCCATTTTCATTACCCTAAGAATGAATTCTCCTCTGAGCAGAAGAGGATACAGATAAGCAGGGCCATTTTGCCATATTAAATTTGATACAAACTTTAAAAAGCATATGTGATAAGAGCTCACAGTTGCACATACAATCCTCTCTGTTCTTTGTATATTGAAATGTTATATTAAGTTCATGAGAAAAAAAAATGAAAAAGTCTTCTCTCAACTCAGGTAGGTAGGCCTCCAACATCCAGAGGAGCCCTATTTAGATAAGGAAGTTTTGAGATCCCTTCTATGGGAATGGTTCCCAGTCTAAAAGTCCTCCTGACTTAGGAAGGATCTGACGGGGGAATTCTGAGGTCCCTAGGATTTCCCTGAGCTTGACTCAAATTCTTGGAAAAGACTCAGAATCATGGTGGTCATTAGGCCAACAATTCACTTTTCAGCAGAGAATCAGGAAGCAACAAGTTGGATACTTCCAGAAGAGAGAATTAGAAATAAAGCCATTTATTAAATCATCTCTCTTTTATTTTCATCTCTGCTGGGCTAGGGATCTTACAACCCTTGCTTTTCTCGCATTTCTGATCAAAGGGCCTCTTCTGGACGTGGCATGTGTCACCATTATAAATGAAGCTTTTGTTTCTTCAGACCATTCCCGGAAGTGCACTTGGTGCTTTCAACTTTCAGATTTCTCTCCCAGGTGTGACTGTTGGGCAGTTTACGCCTGGAAAGACAGTTCCACATTTACAAGCTCAATAAAGCACCAGATAGTTTCTTTTGACTTCCTGACCATCATTGTTGTTCTGTGACCTCCTGGACTCTCTCCTGCTTTGACTGGGATAGCCAGATAGACCGCTCTTGCACGATGAGTTTGGGTAACATATGCTTGAAGCATTTGAGTCCTTTTGTATATGATCACGAACTTGGAGCAATAAACAAGAAGCCAGATATCTGAGTCTTGACGTCCTGATGTATAAATGAAAGTGATGCAGAAATTACAGCTGCCAAGGGACACAACCCATGCTGAAAATAAGAATCATTTTCACAGTGCTTTAACTATCCTCATCCCATTGAGAATTGTGACTCCCGTTTGTAGACTGAAAGTCATAATTCACAGCTAGGTATTATCAGTGGATTGAGCACCTGGATTTGGAGTCAGGAAGACTCCAGTTCAATCCTACCTGAGACACTTACTGTTTGGGGAACCCTGGGCAAGTTACTTCATTTCTCTTGGACTGAGTTTCCTTAACTGTAAAATGGGGTTAATAGTAACGTCTACCTCCCATGGTTGTTGTGAGGATCAAATGATATACTAAAGGTAAAGAGCTTTGCAATAAAAAAAAGCACTATAAAATATTATTATTATATTCAATTCAACAAGCATTTATCCAGCACCCATTTTAAGCAAAGCAAGGAGTTTATATTCTGCTGGAAAGTGAAATATGTCATGTACACAGATAAGTAAGAATAGGATAATTTGACAAAGCACTAACAATATGGGATGTGGAGAAAGGAGGTGATTCCTGTATTGAATCTTGAAGGAAGTTAGGAATGCTTGAGGTGGAGGTAAGGAGGCAATGCATTCCAGGTATATGGAACAGCTTGTACAAACAAATGGAGGTCAGAGATAGATTGCCAAGTTTGGGGAATTGAAAATCAAAACCAATCAACCACTTTGGTTTCCAAGGTAAAGGGTAAGACTGACAAAACTAAAGGACCTAATACCCTAGTAGCTGCTCACTAAATAAGTATTTGTTGATTTTTGTGCTGTGTCAAGGAAAATGTTCTTGTCTAAAATCCAAACAAGACTGTGTTGCAAAAACAATCAAGAACTTTAATAAGAGCCCACATTTACATAGTGATTTACAGGTTGAGACTTCGTAAGTAAGTGGGGTTAGAGGTACAAAGTGCAATTGATTTAGAATCAGAGGAACACGTTTCCAAGTCTACACTGCTTTGGACCTCCAATTTCTCCCATAATAGGTGCTTAATAGATGATAATAGTTGACTTGACTTGGTGACTGTATACTATCTGTGTGACCTTGGACAAATAACTTTCTTTCTCTGGATGTCTTCAGTGTCTGATCTATAAAAAACATGGAGTTGGATTCTAAGACCTTTCTCATTGTAATTCTCTTATTTGTCTACGTATCCTCAGGGCCTACCACAGTGCCTGACACAGAGTAGGTTCTTTAATAAATATTTGTTAATTGATCGATTAACAGATGCTCATTTATTTACAGTTACCAAAGTTTTTTTTCCTCAACAAGCCTATAAGATAAGCAGTGTAATTATAATTAAGTCCATTTTCCAGGTGAGGGAGCTAGGATTAGAGGAGTGAAATGATTTCCCCAGGTAATCTAGCAAAGTAAAAAACCATAAACCTGGGTCTGGGACTTGAACCCAGATCTTCTGACACCAAACTCAATGCTCTTTTTGCCCATACCATTAAAAAAATAGCTCCTAAAGGTCTGCTAGAGGCAACCAGGTGGCGCAGTGGATAAGAATGCCAGGCCTCATCTTCCTGCGTTCAAATCTGGACTCAGACACTCACTAACTCTGTGACCCTGGGCAAGTCACTTAACCCTGTTGGCCTCAGTTTCCTCATCTGTGTAATACACTGGAGAAGGAAACGACAAACTACTCCAGTATCTTTGCGAAGAAAACTCCAAATGGGGTCACAAAGAATCAGACATGACAGAAAAAGACTGAATGACAACGTCAAAATTATTATTGATACATATTTTCCCCAAAGATCAGTTTTTGAGCTCGAAGCAAATCCTGTGAGTTACCAGAATCTTCCTTATTTGCGTTGGTCTCAGATCCTGAAGTCTTGACCAAGAGTCTGGTTAATTAAAGGTGATGACAGTGAATGTCGCTTTACATGGTATTGTAAGCTAGAAGTCCAATGATTGATGTGCACATGATTTCTCTTGCTCATTATTTTAAAATCTCTCCCTCTTTTTTTCCTAGAAGAATCATTTGGAGTGTGTATGTGTGTGTGTGTGTGTGTGTGTATGCACGCATCCATGTCCCCACTTTGAAACATTTAGGAAATGGAAATAAGCAAGCAAAAACTTTTTAGAAAAACTGTCCTTGAATTAGCAAAATATAACAGGAAGTGGTAATCCTGTATGTTACTGCTTTTGCTTACTTGCTTATTTTCTTCTTTGCTAGGAGACCTCCTTTGATGATGTGTGTAGTACTCACAACACTTCCATGCTTTGGATTTTCTATAGCAGTCACAGAGGTATGTAAGTCTGTTTTTCTGGTCTGGACTAACTGGACTTTGAGAATATGGACTTCACTGAGGGGTGCTCCAAGGCTCTGACAGCCCTCCCCCCATATCTCCCTCACCATACCACCTTTCCTTATCTGACATAAAATCCACTGAATTATGGTTAGAGCTGGAGTAGACCTTAGAAATCATCTAATCCAGTGACGTCAAACTCAAATAGAAACAGAAAGGCCAGATATTGACTTAGAAATTCCTATTATCTAGTTGTATTTTTATTTATTTTGTTAACTATTTCCCAATTACATTTTAATCTTGTCCCCTTGCATTGGGAAGTTTTGTAGCTGTTTGCTGTATCTAGTCCAACTGCCTTGGTTTTTTACAGAAGAGAAAAGAGTGGCCATAGAGGTTGGGTGATTTGCCTGCATCACCTAGGTAGTACATAGCAGAGCACAGATTTGAACCCAGATCCTTCGACTCCAAATTCAGGGCTCTTTCTCACTGTGCCATGTTACTTCTAAATCCTTCTCAGAATTTCTACCAACAGAATCATTCTTAAGGGACAAGACGACAGGATCATAGAATCTGAATTTGGAAGTGATGTCAAAGATCATCTTATCCAGTAGCTCTTAACTTTTATATGTCATGAACCCCAATGGTTGTTTGGTAAAGCCTTTGGGTCCCTTCTCAGAATAATGTTTTTACACAAGGCGTCTCAAAAGTCTTAATCCAGTTTTGTTCTATTAAAGTTTATACATACAGGTATACATAAAATTTAAAAAAATTTAGAATTACAAAGCAGATGCTAAGTGGCACAGTGGATAGAGCGCTAGACCTGGAGTCCTTAAAACCCGAGTTCAAATTCAACCTCAGATACTTCCTAGCTGTGTGACTCTGGGCATGCCACTTAACCCTGTTTACCTCAGTTTCCTCATCTGTAAAATGACATGGCAAACCACTCCAGTGTCTTTTCCAAGAAAATCTCAAAAGGGGTCACAAAGAGTCAGACATGACTGAAATGACTGAATAACAGTTATCTATATATATCTATATATTTTAAAAGTTTATGAACCCCAGATTAAGAACCTCTTTGTTTTTGAGATGAGCATCAGAGGGGTTAAGTGTCATGCTTAAAGCTACACAGAAGATAGTAGAGCCAATATTCAAAAACAGATCCTGGTTTTGAATTTAGACCTCTTCATTCTGCAAGATCAATGGAATATTACCAGCAGAGAATCGGGGTATGTTACCACAAACCATCTGTTACTGAGGAAAGGGAGAAAGGGCCTTGGTCATCTCTTCTAATCTGTACCCTCTTCTGGTGGACTTTGGGTAAAAGTCAGGCCCTGAGGGGATAAAATAAAGGCTACTGTTTTCCCTTGTTACAGTCAAGTTGGAGATAGGGATGAGAACATGACAATAAGCTCTGGGTGGCAGAGGAGTGGAGGGAGGGTTGGGGCACACAGGAAAGGGCAGCCTCTATGGAACATTTCAATGTGGGACTTGGGGAAATAGGCAATTGAGGAAGACATATGAGGTGCCCCTCAAAGGGTAACACCAAAAAGAAGGAAGAGAGAAACCAAAAGGGAAAAAGATTCTTCATCAGACTTTCCCCCATTTGAATAATTTTCTGAAGACCAATCCTCCCACTGGGCACTGCAATCTTCTGATATTTAGACTTATAGGAATAATTTACTGCATAACTTTTAATTCTGAACTGTAAGGATATGCTATATGAAGGCATATATGACCTTTACCCATTGATATTTATTTCTAGAAACTTTCAATATTCAAGGTAATTCAGGATGAAAAACAACAAACATCCTAAGGCAGGGATAGTAACATTTTTTTGCGTCATGAACCCCTTTGAAAGTCTGGTGAGCTTGAAGTCCTTGAAATAAAGAATATAAGATTACAAAGGAAACCGATTATAATAAACTATAATTATCAAAAAATTTTTTTTAAAGCTCACACACTGCAGTTTAAGAACCCCTGCCCCAAGAGTTCTATCGATAGATTTTGGGGAGCCTGTGAACTTGGATGGGAAAAAAGATTACATCTTTATTTTCACTGATATTTAACTAAAATTTACCATTTCCTACAATTATTTACAAACATGATTCTGAGAATATATCTATCAGCTTCACTACTGCCAAAGGGATCCATGATGCCAAAAGTTAAGAACTCTTGCTGTTTCTATTTTTCCTTTGCCAAATCATTCATATTTGTTAAGTCTGATTAACCAATAGGACAATTATTTTTCATTCTTGTTCTACTTTTATTATGTGCCCCAAGTAATAAGACATGAAGCGTAGAGAACATTGTATGCAGAGTTAAGCTTGGAGTAAGGAAGACCTGGGTTCAAATCCTACCTCTGACAATGATAATAAAAATAACAATTATTATTATGAATAATAATAACAATAATAATTAGCACTTAGATTGCATTTTAACATTTGTAAAATATTTTACACATAGTATCTCATTTGACAATAACCCTATGAGATAATTGCTATTATTATTCCAATTTTACAGATGAAATTTGAGAGTTTCTTCAACTGAGGTTGAGTGAAGTTTTGTTACTTATCCAGGGTCATGCAGTTGGTAAGAGTGTCTGGGACAGAATTTGAACTTTCCTCTTCCAGACTCCAAGTCTAGTCCTCTCTCCATTCTACTTGGTGACTTTGGGCAAGTTACCCAACCTCTATGTGCTTTAGGAAACTCCCTGACACATGTCTACTAAGTCAGACTGGTTGCAATCTGCTTTGGTGGTGGGAGTTTCTTCCATTGATGAAATAACAGAACTTTCTAGTATTCTTCTCTATGTGGACACGTATGAACAAAGAAACGACTAAATCTGTAGCAGACAATGGGAAAGGTTGCTTTCTTGTCCAAAAAGTAGGCTAGGCAAATTCACAAGATTACTAGACAGATGTTCTGTGGAAAACTAAGAACTTTTCTTTCTTTTTTTTTTCTTTCTTTTTTTGGTGAGGCAGTTGAGGTTAAGGGATTTGCCCAGAGTCACATAGCTAGTGAGTGTTATGTGTCTGAGGCCAGATTTGAACTCAGGTCCTCCTGACTCCAGGGCCGGTGCTCTATCCACTGTGCCACCTAGTTGCCCCAAGAACATTTTCTTTGAACCATGCACAAAAATTAACAAATATTAATTTACTGAGCACCTACCATGGGAGCCCTATAGTTTTATCAGAAATCATCAACCCTGAAACTGGAAAGCATATCTAGACATTCACTAAGTAATGTGTGAATTTTCAGAATTCACACAGCATTCATTCAATATATGCTTATTAAGCCCCTGTTGAGCATTGAAGATATAAAGATGAGAAATAATACTGCCCCATCCCTCAAGGAACTTAAAATCTAATAGTGATGAAAAGCTATAGATTTGATAGAGGGTGGAATGTGATTAGAACTAATGAGGTATCACCACAAAAGGCCATAGGAAAAGGGAGGCAAAGAGATTGCTTTTGGTTATAAAAGAAGTTAGATCACAGAAGGCTTTTTGGAAAAGTTGGTTATCTGATTTGGGCCTTGAAGGAAGAAAAGTATTTCAATGGGCAGTGATGTGGAGGGACCATGTTAAAGTCATGGAAGATGGACTATATCCATCATTTTCTTTATGTTCTCATTACCACACATGGAAACTTAGGATTGGAGAGGGAGCATATAGCAAGGTTGATGGAAATTGTTTCCTTTGAACAGGGAACTATAGGGCTACTGATCTGAAGCTGGAAGGGAGCTATTATAGGAAGTTCTCTAGTTGAATTCCTCATTTTTTAGTTGAGGAAACAGAGGCAGAAATCAAGTGATGTGCCAAGGGTCACACAGTTGGTCGGTCTAAGGCCAGATTCCTCCTCGTCCTAGTGTTACTACTTCTCTTCCTACTATCATGACTCCTCTTTTTCCTCTTCCTTTTTTCTTCCCTCCTCTTCCATTTCCTTCTCCTCCTAGTATTGCTACTTCTCCTCCTCTACTTCATAACTAGCGAGCCCCCACTGGTGTGTTGTCTGTTAATAGTCAACTAGCAGATAAAAAAATCTTTGCTTAGCGGAGCCCATTTACTAAAATGGCATAGTAAGAAGAGTAACTACAAAACATTCCCTCAAAGAAACATGTGGTGTATCTCCTACAAATACACACAGCACTTGTGAGAAGAGTGGATACAAATTTAGTTTATACCATGGGAGTCATACACATAGGGAACATGTATAGCCAAAGTAACTTGTATATCTGGAACTGTAGTGCTTCAAAGACTTTCTACTTTTCGTGATATCCTCATATTGCTTGCCAGTGGGCATGATATTTCTCAGCCTTCCTGATAGAACTGCCTTTCAACTGACTGAAATCATCCTTTAAGGATTGCTTATGAGTGTGACCATCTTCCATCAGCTAATGGGGTTACCCCCTTTCACTTCACTTAGAGAAAGGTCTTCATACTTTATGAAAGCATCACTGGATATAAACATCTGGTTAATTAATTAACAATTCATCATTTGTGATTAATTGAGCTGGGGGAAGGGGAATGAAATCCCCTTTTATGTCAGTAAAGGTACTTAGATAGACAATTCCACAGTGGGCAAAGGTATTTCAATGAAGAATGACAGTTCTGTAAATGTTTCTCATCGGTTCCCTTAAAACAGGTCCAAAAGAATGCCTCCAATATATCTGCACTACCTGACACCTTACCCGACTTACCAGTATCAGTGGTTCTGGCTTCCCTAATTATTGTGGATATAATTGAAAAATTGCGGAAATATCCTCTCAGAGGAAAACCAATAAGTAAGTAATACTTAGAAACATGAGTTATTTTTAAGTCTGCAACATATGTTACCATCAGACTATTTCAACTCTTCAAAGGTTTGATGTGCATATTTTTTTTTAAATAATAGGGTTTACAATTATATTTCTGAGAGAAATTAACTAAGTACTTTTTATTATTATCAGTCAGTAGAAAGAATGGCTTAAGTAGTTCCTTCTAGGTTGCTCCAGATGTAGCATTTAAATTTGCTTTATGCCACGGATCACAGATTTATCACTTAGTCAAGACTTCCTGCCAATGTCTTCATTTTCCACCCTGGGGTTCTCATCACAAGCCACAGTGACTCCCATTTATCTGGAACAGGAAGGAAATGAGGTGTTCTGGTTAAGTGGGTATTATGGATTATTCTTGAGCTTTAGTTGTTGATAGGACATTTCCTGGATTTCCCACTAGCCCTCACGTAAAACATATCCAGGAATTGGCTCATAATCTTTCCCCCAAAATGTATTCCTCTTGATTTCACTGTTTCTCTGTAACACATTGATTCATCCAGCTTCCTGTGTTCAGAGCATTTGTGCTATGCCAGCACGATGACTAGCACATAGTAGGTGCTTAAGAAATGTTACTTACTGATTATCTTTCACATCTCTTGCTTCTCAAGTCCCATGATTTTAACTTTGCAACGTATCTCACATCAATTTCCTCTATTTCCATTGCTACCACCTTAGTAGAAGCCTTCATTACTAGCCCCCTTGCCTACTGCAACAGACTCCTTTTTTCTTATTTAAAAAAAATTCTATTTTATTTTGAGTTCTGAATTCTCTTCCTTTGATCTCCTTCTCACCCCCTGATTGAGAAAGCAAGAAAAACAAAAACAAAACCAACAGAAATATGTGCGGTCAAACAAAACAAATGCCCCACATTAACCATGTCCCCTCAAAATTAATGCATCAGTCTACCCAATAAGTCTGTCATCTCTCTATTAGGAAGTGGATAACGTGTTTCATCATGAGTCCTCTGGAATTGTGGTTTGTCCTTTCTAGATCAGAATTCCTGAGTCTTTCAAAGTTGTTTGTCTTTTATAATACTGCTACAGACCCATAACAGATCTTTATGTCCACATTCTTTTCCCCACTTGAATCTGTCCTTCACATACTACTAGACTTATTTTCCTTAAGGTGTGAATGTGCTCATGTAGCTTCTCTGCTCCAAACCATTTAATTACTCCCTGTTTTCTACTGAGTAAAATTCATCCTCTTTAACCAGGCATTGAAGACTCTTTACCGTCTGCCACCACTCCATCTTTACTTTCTTAGCTCATATTATTCCCCACAATGCAACCTGAATGGTGACTAAAATGAACTACTTGCTAAGTCTCTGTGGACATAGTTTTTTACCTCTACATCTTTGGTGAAACTGTTCACTGTGTTTTCTTAACTGTGTCACTTAACCTCAGTTGCCTCACCAAACAAACAAACAAAAAGAAAACAAAGACTGTTTAATTCTATATATTTATATCCCCAATGCCTGACATAGCAGGCACTTAATAAATGCTTGTTAATCAATTGCTTCATTACTTTTTATATCTTTACAATTTTAATAAATATGGTTTTATGTGATATTACTGCACTTAGAGTTAACAAAGAAAATTTGTTGTGACCAGTCATTTGATTTTTGAGTCATTTATGTTTTGATATTTATTTCAAAGCATTATTTCTGAACTGTCTAGTAATTTCACTTTTCATTAACTACATGTATCCTGTTGTCAGTAATCGTAGTGCACGTCATCAAACTATCTTGAATTTTAAAGGTGACCCATGGGACCATTTTTTCATCAGGCCTGATGAAAACTATTGAAATGATTATCTCAAACCTTAACTAAGTACAATACAAGGAATGTCAGAGAAAACAAAGAATTTTGAAAATAGATAGTTTTTCTCTGAGTAGGTATGAATCACAATTAACATAGACTTGCTCTTTCCTTTCTCTTTAAGAGAGAGCTTGTTGAACAATTGAAATGAGCATGCAGTATGTGATTTCTGACTTAGGTCTTACACAACATGTCCCAAAGTGCCCAGAGTAGCATGGAGAACACTGTGTTCAGTGAGCACTGCACAAAGAAGGAGGGTGTTTCCTTTTATGTCCTCCCCTTTTAGAAGTAGGAAGTTTGGAGGGAAAGCTCATCATTTCTAGGATTTCTGTCCCAACCCCTGCCCATCCTCGCCCTGTATCCGAGGAAATATGCGGTGATTTGCAATGTCTAGATTGCCGGCCTCGTGGAGGCTTTAGTCATCACTTATTATAAATTACCCAGTGTTAGGATGTGTCCGGCTAAGTTTGGACTAGATTTAGTAAAAAACAAACAAATAAACAAAAACAAAAACAAAACAAAACAACAACAACAACAACAACAAAAAAAAAAAACAACGAAAAACTTCAAGGGACTTTTGACCAGATTAGATTTTTAATGAATAAGCTACTTTTCAAATAGACCCCACAATTCACCAAATCTCAGAGTAAGAAGGGAACACAGAGGCATCTAGTCTAAACTACATTTGGAAAATAATCTTCTATACAAATAATCTGACAAGTGGTCATGCAGCCTTTGTTTGAAGATGTCCAATGATGGGCATCCACTAATTCCTGAAATAGCTTGTTCCATTTTTGGATATCTCTCATTGTTGGAAAGTTTTCCTTACATCAAGACTTAATTTTCTTCTTTACAATTTCCAACCACTGCCTTTGATTCAACCTTTGGGAGGCAAGAAAACAAATCTAATTCTTGTAACATACAAGAGTCCTACATATATTCACTATGATGTCCATTCCTCTCCCCCAGTTCTTTTCTTCTTCAAAATTCACTTATATTTTACTCTCCTCTACTTCCTCTAGGATCTTACATATCTTACTGTTCCTATGACGCGATACTCCATCTTCTGACTCTGTAACTTTTCACTGACCATCCCCCACACCTAGAATGTTCTTCCTCACCTCTGTCTTCTGGTTCTCCTGGCTTCCTTTCAGACTCAGTTCAAATCCCACCTGTTATCAAGAGGTGTTTCTTGTCACCCTCTGGTGTTACTCCCTTCTCTCTGAGATTGCTTCCCACTTGCACTGTACATATTTTGTATTTGCATAATTGTTTGCACGTTGTCTCCTCTATTACAATGTGCCTTTCTTTGTATCCCTAGCACATAGCACAGTGCCTAGAACATAGGAGACAATTGATGAGTGCCAGTGGATGATGCTAATGTGGGTAATGATGGGATTGGTAGGCTTTGATGTCATGAATAATGAATGAGAGCTTTAGGTCATCTGGTCCAACCCCTTCATTTTACAGATTAAACAACAACAACAACTGAGGCAAAAAAAAGTTAAATACCACATCCAAAGTCATAGAGGTAGTAAATAGCAGAAGAGGGATTTGAATTCACTTTCTCAGCTCTAAGTCTAACACTCTTTCCACAGTGCCAGCATGCTTTTCTGCCTATAAAGGTCAAACTTGGTTTTTCATGATCATTGATTTTTCACTACTCAAGTTTCTCTGAAGTCCTTTCTGGTTCCAGCTTTCTTTGTCTTTTCTTTTTTCTTCTTTTTCTTTTTGAGGCAATTGGGGTTAAGTGACTTGCCCAGGGTCACACAGCTAGTAAATGTCTGAAGTCAGATTTGAACTCAGGTCCTCCTGACTCCAGGAACAGTGCTTTATTTGCTGCATCACCACGCTGCCCCCTTTTTTTGTCTTTGCATTGGAAAAACTAGGATATGTTGTTAGGGTCTTAGTATATTAGAGCCAATATCCTTTGTCAATTTGCTTTTGTCCTTTTGTATGTAGGGTATTCTTTAAAATGAGCTGTATTTTGTTAAAAGTTTATTTGTATTTCTGATTCTATTCATTAACAATCTCTTAGCTGAACTTCCAAGATGCTATCCTACTAGTTAAGGGGTTAAGAGCACTCCTGAGGGCAAGAACATTTGGAGCAACTATACACCAGTGATGTCTAAAATATTGCTCCCTTGCCATTTAAAGACAATTCCTTTTTTACCATCCTTAATCCTTTACTTTTCTGTTGACTTAATCAGTTTATTTTACTCTTTCTCCTTACTTTTGCTAATTGCCTATATCTCAGATCACTTTCCCAACTTTCACAATAATAATAATTTCATCTTTGAAAACATGGTAAAAGAGCACTGATTTCTTGATTTTTATAGAGAGTTATGGCTAAGGGCTGAGCTCTTGGTTTTAACTTGACATTGGTCTTGCTCTTCCGTTTTTTATTAAGGCAAAATCAGCCTTGGTTTGTTATTTTTCCATAGACTCTACATAGGTTTAATTTTAGATCTGGTTGTGTTGCTAGCTCCCTATTTAAAAACAAATGTATAGAGTAAATAACAATGGGTAGAAATCCAAATGAGTTGCAAACATAAAAATTCTATCTTTTATATTTATTTTAAACTAAATCAATCCTATAGCTTTAGCTCTGTAAGAATCAAGAAAGCAGAACTCTTCCATCATATTTCCTTGTTTAAAGGTTTTCAGAGATGAAAGTAAAGTTCCTGGCCTGAGTGTTAGAAAATCTGGATTCTAATACCATGCGCCTTTGGACAAGTCAATTTTTCTTCCTTGGATTTATTGGTAAAATGAGAGTATTAGACTAGATGTTATCAGTGGTCTAGTGGAAAGAGTGATGGCTTTAGAGTTGGTGGACCTTAGTTCAAATTCTGCCACCCACTGGTCTGCCCTCCAGAAGCACAGAGAATAAATCAGAACATTCTTCACCACAATAACCATTCAACCATCGGAAAGTAGCTAGTCCTTCCCTCCTAAGAATTCTGCTGTCCATGGTATTCATTCCCAAAACAATGACTTTTCTCAATGTGCCAGGATTTTGAATCCTCTCATTATTCTGGTGAGTGCCTCTGGACACTTCCTAGCTTTGTTTATTATTTAGCCATCGGTTGGCATTTATGATGTCCTACTTTTTGCAATGTGTGCGATGTACAGGGGTAGATTAAAAAAAAT